GTATAGACATTGTATAAAATATCGTTCAACTATCTGTCTCGTAACAAAGTTGTTTGCGTAAGACGGGTTTGTCTAAGGAGGCGATAATAGTTCAGGAAATGAAGTTCGAAAAAAGTTAAAACCTCGCAATTTTTTCGTCCTGCATGTATCCAGTTGAAATTTTAGCAGAAGGTAGGTAATAGCCCAAGGATCAAAATCTATATCGAACCGAAGTGCGCTGAAGGGTTTTAGGGGTGAAAACTACCCCTAATTGTCAAAAATTATAAAATAACACATTAAACCTGAATATGGGTAAGATTTGGTTTGAATTAGTTAAATAATGATTATTTTATACTTTTGAATAGAGTTCCATCATATTTCAACCCTTAAAAAGCAACCCTTGTTAAAGATTAATGTAAAAAATTACTAATTCTAAAAAAATGATTTCGCCTTGGATCGATTTCGATAAAAATTTGAATTTAAGCTCAATTCACCCGCTGCTTTATAGTTTATGTCATGTCGACGAACCCTGATTGTTCTTAAGGGTGAAAACTACCCCTAATTGTCAAAAATTATAAAATGACATATTAAACCTGAATATGGGTAAAATTTGGTTTGAATTAATTAAATAATGATAGTTTCGTGCTTTTGAAAAAAGTTCCATCATATTTCAACCCTTAAAAAGCGACCCTTATTAGAGATTAATATAAAAAAATTAGTAATGCGAAGAAAATGATTTCACCTTGGAACGATTTGCATAAAAATTTGGAATTAAGCTCAACTCACCCTCTGCTTTATAGTTTATGTCATGCCGATGAACCCTGATTGTTCTTAGGGGTGAAAACTACCCCTAATTTTCAAAAATTGTAAAATAATATTACAAATCTTAAGATGAGTGAAATTTGGTTTGGATTAGTTAAATAGTGAGTTTTTATACTTTAAACTACAAATTCATACATTTTTAACCCTTAAAAATCAATTGTTATGAGTGCTATAGGTAAAAATAATTTTTTTCCAAAATTTTGCAACTTTTCAACTGTTGAAAATCACCCTTTACAACATTGCAGTTTTTATAAACTAATTTATAAGATATAAATTGAAAAAAGTAGAATTAAATACAAAAAAAATTATCAACATAAAAAGGCACCATATATTCTTATACATTTACATAAATAGTTGAAAATATTTACATTTATAGGTAAAACAATTATAATATTAATTTTATTCGTCATCAATTACATCTTCATCGTGATATATGTCATCCTCATCTTCTTCAATTATTGGTGGACTGTTATTGCACCCTTCACCTGAGCACCCAGAACAAGTAGAGTTACAGTATAAACCAACTTTTCTGCACCCATATGAAACGCCGCATCCTTTTTTGCATTGGCAAAAAATAACTTTCAAAAATTTATCGGGTGCAGGTTGTTTGTTCATGCGTACGGGTAATAACAAACCATCTTTGGAATACCAATCTGTTGCTCTGATATTTTCATTGCCAAGCCATAGACATATGAGCAGATGTTTTATTCTGTTGTATGGGATTTCAAAATAAGAACGCTTAAAATTTCGAATGTATAACGCCCCACTAGCTAATATACCGGTTTTGTAGATTATTATGCTTCGAAATGTACTGTACTATACTAATGGAATTTTCCGGAAAAAAATTAACTGATTTTTTTAACGTATTTCCTTTAATTTTTAACGATAGAGTGTTTCTTCAAAAACGATTTGTAGAGGTTTTTAATAGCTACAAGGATCTGTGAATTAAATCTTTTTGGAACCCTTGGTTTTTAAATGTAGTGAGTTTAAAGGGCTCGAAAAAGATGGTGCTTGATCGTAAATCGATGCTTTAAACGGCTATATCTCGAAAAATATTCATTGTACAACAAATCTAAATAAAGGATAATTTTAGTCATTAAAAAAGCTACAATTTGGTAATTTTTATTTTTTTCATATATTCAGTATTTTCGGGCATATTTAAAAAAAGAAGGGTAAAAAATATGAAATTGTAAATCGTTTCTCGCTTTAAGCTGTACTTTTTCTAAAACTAAGCATTTTAAATGGGTCAAACTTTTTGGACGTATTAACAATACATCTACAAAAGGAATTGCAGAAGGGTGAAGATCGATTTTAATTATGGGGGTGGTTAGGGTGTTGTTTTCCTCGATTTTTTCGTAAAAAATGAGGTATTGACCTAATTTTTTATGATAGGTCTATTTATGCTCTTTAAAAAAGGTTTTGTGAGTTTTCTTCCAAAAATACATCATTTTCCCGATATTTGACTTTAAATTTTTCAAATTTGGCATTTGAAGAAAACCGCTGAACATTGATATTGTATTTGTAATTGTATTTGTCTTTTTAAAAGCTACAAATTTGTTTTCTACAATTTTTTTGATAAAATGCACCATTTTCGAGTAATTCGCGAAAAATCGATTAAAAACGTGGATTTTTTCGTCTAAAAGTTGTTACTTTCAATCGCGAATAACTTGAAAAATATCATTTTATAAAAAAAATGTATAGCACATTTTTTGTTTAGAATCACTTTTCTAATCGAAACCTGTAGTTCAAACGTAAAAAAAATTTTCACCCCGGAGATGGGGTGGCAACCACCCCCTAGGCTTTGGCGCACTTTGGTTCGATATAGATTTTGATTCTTAGGCTATTACCTACCTTCTGTTAAATTTGAAGTCAATCCACGCCGCACGAAAAAATTGCGAGGTGAAATGGTACATTTCCTGGACTATAACTGGTTTGACAGCATAATAAAATCGTAGATTTATGTGTAGCTTTTAATTTTTATGAGTTCAGAATCGAGCAGCCCGCTGAAGTATGGGATTTTTTATAATATAATTATTTGACAATCTTTTGTTGGCCAACCAGCTACAGCAGAATTGAGCCGAAATACATTATATTCCTATGTTCCGAATTTATTTCGTTCAATTTATATGTGTCCATCCACAAGATGTTGCGGAAAGTTCTGGTCTTGCGTGATACAAAACTCGTGCAAGAATTGAAGCTACACAATCACCTAGCAAGACATAGATTCGGTGAATGGGCCAAAAAGAGATTTCCGTTGATTCCGATTTTCATAAGCGAATTTTGTTTAGTAATGAAGCTTACTTTTGGTTGAATGACTACGTCAACAAACAAAACTACCGTATTTGGAGTGAAGATAATAAGATAATCCTCAAATGTATGTTGAGAAACCATTACATCAGAAAAACTGACTGGTGTGCCTAATGGATTGATGGAATAATTGGTCCGTACATCTTCAAAATACAGTTAATGGTGACCGGTATAGAGCCATGATTACTGACTTTTTCATTCCTCATTTGAACAACCTTGATGTGCAGAAGCTGTGGTTTCAACAAGACGGCGCAACGCAGCTCATGCCACAATTGATTTATTGAAGAAAACGTTTAGTAATCGCATAGTTTCACGGGATCCGTGAATGGACCCCAACATCATGCAATTTAACACCGCTAAACTATTTTCTTTGTGGGTATGTGAGGTCGTTAATCTCCGACGATAATACTGAAACGACTGACCATTTGGAGGACAACATTCGCCGCGTTATTGCCGATATGCGTCCCGAATGTTGGAGAAGGTCATCGAGCATTGGTCCTCCAGATTAGCCTACTTCAGAGCCTACCGTAGCGGTCATATGCCACAAATCATATTTAAATTATAATGCCAAAAGGTTACTTTTCAAATATAGTCAATTTCGTGTCAATTTAAAAATCGTATTTGTTTTATTCCGTGTTAAAGTGCTATAAGATATGCAGATGACACTGTGATTATGGCAAGCTTTGCTGAACAATTCCAACTATTACGAAAAAAGACAAGCAGTTTTTGTGAAAAATATGGACTAAAAATTAATATAAAAGACTAAAAATGAATATAAAAAAGGCTAAATATATGACGATAATAATAAAGAAATCAAATATGTATACAAACAAATATGTCATACATACACCACAAACTCCAGCAGGGGAAATTTGTATTAGTAGAATTCAAGGGCGGTAAAAGGCTGACAACATCTTACAGATATCTTTCTACGATAACGATCTTATGATCGAAGATATTGATTGGGATGAAAATGAAATTTAAGGTTATAGCTGTAAATGTATGTTACAGTAAACTGACATTAGTTTCGTCAACATTGAACAAATTATTGCTAAGTATAGCCCCTGAGCCAAATATTTTTATGAGTGGTGAAAGAATACTTTACAAGTTTCCTAATAAGTTGGATATTTTTATTTTTGAACGTCAGTAAATAAGTGAATATTTATAATTTTAAAAATTGGTTTGTTTATACCTACGTATTTTTTTTTTTAGTTTCCTTGGCACATTTGATATATTCGGGGTATCTTGCACGATTTTAGATTACAAACCATGTATCATTTTACTCCAGTTTCGTTTAGATTATCTTCAACAGAACCAGAGATCGTGTATTAACCCCATTTTTTAGTTTTTTCTTAAAATTTGTGGGGTACTTAAATGGAAACATTGGATACCTTCTTTTTTGTGACTTTTTCTTACTAGTTTTTAAGACATTCTACCGTAAACTTTTCGTATAGTAGCCAAAAGCTTTTATTTTATTAAAATATGAAACAGTATATTTTTAAATAAATTTCAAATGCTTAGACATCAATGAAATTGCAAATAGTGTTTCCAATTATTACCCTAACTGACCTACAATGAAATGAGTCATAAAATTTGGAAAAGGGTAACAAGTAAGACTTTATTGAGTATCATAGGTAATAACCAAAGAAACTATTTTTTGTGTGAAGTTTTATTAGGTATAGTTCTTTTAGATGGATTAAGTTTTAGTTGTCATCGAACAAAGTCAGTTTTTATTGTTTTACAATAAGCTCAATAGCTACCAAACTATTATATTTGTAAATTAAATATTAATGTTTAATACATCAAACAAAATTGCCTAGACGTTGCTGATATGTATATTGTAATTGCATAGATACTAAATATTTTAAAATTAAAGAATTTAAAAATGTTACCTCAGGTATATTAATTCCAATATTATTCGCAAGATTATCCATGGTAGAAAGTGATTCATCCAAACATTTTGTACACTAACCACAAGTTTTTATACTCTCCTCAAGTACCCAGCAGGTAGGTACCAAGAAACAATCTGTGTTGTACCTTGTTCTTACAATAAAACTAACTTTTTAACTTGGCACGTATCACATTTCACTAAATTAGCACCTATTTTTGAATTAAAGCAAAGTTTTAAACACTTTTAAGTAACATTCAAGTCAAAATTCCACATTATTCTTTAATATTTTCGTTTCTTAGCAAGCGTCACAAAAGCACGAAGTTATTTCTTGTGTTGCCGAAGCCGACCTGACTTAAAGAAAACGCGATCCTTCTCAAACTTTGTTCGGGTTCTTTTACAATTAACAGTTTCAGTCGGTACGAAGAAATCGACCAAATAGAACTGTGTTTATAAAAAGTAAGAAATACTGTTTGAAAGTTGACTGTGCAACTATTCGGGACTATTAAGAACAGGCAGTTGCAGGGACCTCGACTCTTGTCTAGAGGGTGGAACTCTGTGCATCGCCGACTTCTATCTTGACTGAAAAAGCCATATATAAATTTAGTAGCAGTAAGAGAGATGACCGCGCCGTTTGGTAGAAATATTCTACAAGTGGGAGATGAGTGAACTGTTTGACCAACGACTACTGCGGGTGTGTGCAAACAACCCATATTATAACGGGGAAATTTAACACAGCATACTGTTTTTTTAAGAAAAATAATTTTAATGGAACAGATTTATCTCAGAATTATTACAATCGTATATTTCTCCCAAATAACTAGAAATATTGCGGCGGTATAAATTCCGCCAAGGTAAATTTTTATATCAATTTTTCAGTCGTGAACAACAAATCATAAGCTATGGATTCGTTATTTTTAATTTTAATTGTTAGTTTAGATCATCTTGGTTTTTTCGATGACTAGAATAGCAATTTCATACAAAAACTGCGTTCGTAATAATATATTAGTATTGTCGATATCCAAATATTTGTTAAACAAATTCTTAAGCCCAATAATAGACCAAATACAATCACATAAACTTTCAAAAATAAAATAAAATAAAAATCTTGCCGAACTTCTTACAACTTTAGACGTATCCTAAAACCAGCCCAGCAGTTAAGTTAGTATATGCAATAGGTACTACTCCAACTCAATAAAGGGAATTCAAATAGAAAGTGTGAACAAGGGCCTTATGTCTCATTATATGACCCAAATATGAAATTTTGCTTATTTACTTATATTGTGTTTATAAGCTGAGATTGGGTGTTCAAATTTCTCATGATTGCTTCATCGTAATGTGATCGCGTAGCCTAGCAATCTTTCGTGCGATACATCTCGATATTATACTAAGGGAATACAAGAAAATCATGGAAGATATAGACAGTCATGTAAGAGGAAAAAAGAGATTGCTTATTGCGGGTAACATAAATGCGAAAACTGTGCTATGGGGACACCACAGAGTGATGACAGAGGAGATGTTAAATGTGCTAATCCATGCAATGAACCTATCGGCCTGTTAGAGGGAAACCAATCTTTGTTAGAGGGAAAGCCGGACTCATATATATGTCACGCTACCTACGGTGACCATGAGAAGAAAAATGTATGAATGAGATGTACTGAAATGGGAAATATTTACTATTCAAGATAAGATAGAACATGAAGAAAACTAAGGATGGTAGAAGAATGAAATACATCGATAGGCAAAAACTAAAGGAAGACATCAGAGCAATGAAATAATATCCCAACAGTATTAATGGGGATCCGAAAAAATTAAAGATATGGCCAGAAGGTGCTGCCCACAAGGTAGAAGAATAAGCAGCCGCCCTTATTAATGGACAGACAACATAGAGGGGATCACAAGAGGATACATTAAACTGAGAAGAAAAATCACTAGAGACAAAAAAGAACCAACTGGTGGGGGAAGAGCAGAAGGGTTAAAAACTTTAAAGAAAGAACTCGCAAAGGAAATGAACAATGAAATGAAAAGGTGCTGGAAAGAAATGTGCGATAATCTCGAGAATGACATTTGGGGTGATACGTACAAGATAGTTACCAAAAATCTCAAATGAAGTAGTATCCTCAAATCGAAAAAACGCCGATGAAGAGAGCTGGTAGAAGAGCCATTCCCACAGAGAGAGATAAAAAAACTCAAACCTTTGCATGTAGAGATGCCGGCAGCAGACTTGTCTACAGAGGAGTCGAAAAATCCCCCTTACCAGAAATTGTAAAGATAATCATAGAGGAAAAGACACCATGGGTGAAAGAATCATGAATGACCTCTAAGAAAGCAAAAATTTCCAGAACATGGAAAAAGGCAAATCTCTAACTTATTCCGAAGCCTGGGAAAGAACTGGGAGATTTTAGCCTAATCTACCTATTAAATACAATCAGCAAGATCTTCGAAATACTTATAGAGACGAGACTAGAAAAAAAGTTATAGAAAAGAGGGCTTGTTTGAACTTCACTATGAGTTTAGAAATGGAAAATCTGCAATAGACGCAATGCAACAAGGTGGCCCTATTTCTGGACATGAAAAATACCTTCAACTGTGCGAGCTGAAGAGTATTAACTGAAATACTGGAAAAATTGAAGGTATTCCTATACCTGCAAAAAGTGAAGGAATACTTCTCAAGTAGATAGATTAACATAGTGAGGGGAGATGTTATGCAGACATCGGCAGGAGTGTAACAAGGCTCGTTCCTAGGACCGTTCCTTGGAACATAACTTACAATTATATACTAGAGGAAGATTTAGGAAAAGGGACACAGGCTTAGCTTACGCGGATGATCTGGTCATTCTGGTAGAGTATAATAAAAGTAGGCTATACTAGAAAAAGTGAAAACGTGGTTGAAAGACAGAGAGTTGACACTCGCTACGCAAAAAACAGAAACGACAGAGATCACGTCTCCTTCACTCTCGAGGGAGAAAGAATAATGCAGGCCAAAAGTTTAAAGGTCAAATACCTATGAGTAATGCTGGAGAGTATAATATATACTGCAAACAAGACCGAACAGAAAGCAGCACCATTGGGAATAATTATGCCAAATATAGGGTGCCCAGATACGGGAAAAAGAAGGATTCTGATGGAAGTGGTACATTCCATAAGTCTATATGCGGAACCGGTGTGGCATCAAGTAACTAACAAATAAAAGTACAAACAAGTTTTAGAGAAAGCCCAAAGAAAAGCCCTATTGAGGGTCGTATGCGCCTATAGAACGACCTCGACGGTAGCTCAAGTTATAACTGGGGTACAACCAATACACCTGCAGGTAAAAGAGAGAAAAGGAAGTAGAAGAATAGTAGAAGAAAGAATAAAAACCATTACAAAATGACAGGAAGAGTGAGTAAACGAGCGAAAAGCTGTTTAGAGAAGAACTCTGATCCAAGTTGTGGAGGAGTGGGTGGAGGAAAAATATAAAAGTACGAAGTACTTCTTCATTATCATTATCCTACACAAGAAAGGGGATAAAGCAAATATAAAAAACTACCGTCCTATAAAACTCCTCAATGTAATGTATAAACTCCTAACAAAAATTTTAACCAATAGATTGACGACAAAATTCGACAGATACCAGTCGAAAGAACAAGCTGGTTTTAGAAAGGGATTCAGCACAAGTGACCATTTACTACGTATGAAAATACTTATAGAACGAGCAAATAAATACCACATTAGATTTCGAAAAGGCTTTCGACAGTGTCGAACATTGGGCAGTGAAAAGTTCTTTGATTAACAGCAGAATTGACCACATATATACGGAACTAATAGCCAATATATATAAGGAAGCCAAAACAACAATTAAAGTATATGAAAGAACAAAATCAATACAAATCAATAGAGGCGTGAGACAGGGTGGCACAATATCACCGAACCTTTTCAATCAGGCTCTGGAAGATATTTTTCAATGATTAGAATGGGAAGAAAAGGTATAAAATTTTGTGGACAACGCTTGAACCATCTAAAGTACGCTGATGACATCGTATTTATAACCGATAACAAAGAAAAATTAGTTGAAATGATAAAAGAACTGGACGTAGAAGCTGGAAAGATAGGTCTTAATATGAATTACAGCAAGACCATTTTACAAAAGCAAACATGGACAACCATAAAAACCATGGCAAACATAATAAGCCCAAAGAGCAATGGAAAGACAAATGTTGCACATAATACTAATAGACAAAAAGAGAAACGAGTGGATAAGAGAGAAAACAAAAGTGAGGGATTGTTGGGAATTTATCTTTATTGAACAGCCAGCAATTGAGGGATTTGTAGTTTACTGTTTTTATTTGCGAAAAAACAAACTCAAATTCTGTTCTCTTGCTGTCTGCTAAATTATTCAATTATTTAAATTTTTCTCTAATCGGTGACAGTTTGTTTTCTGACGTTTTTTCATTATATTTGACATAGTTTATAGAACATTAGCAACGGGAAATTTTGGGTAACATGATAGAACTAAAAATTAACTAAATACATTGTATACAAATAATAAATATTCGTAACAGGGATGTTAGACAAGAAGTTGCAAAATTGAAATGAAGATTTGCCGGACACAATATAAGACAAAAAGAAGACCGATGGAACAAAATTCTTATAAGTTGGAGACCGTGGTAATATAAACGAAGCAGAGGAAGGCCCCAAATGAGATGGGCAGATGATATCAAGAAGCATGTGGGCTCTAGGTGGATGACTGTAGCGACAGACAGAGAAGAATGGAAAAGAATTGGGGAGGTCTATGTCCAAAGATGGACCGAAGAAGGCTAATTAGACATAGATAGACTTTTTCACGCAATGCTTTACGGGACACGGGTTTATTTCGAATAAGAACACTTAGCGAAGTGTGGTGCCGCCACAAGTACGATTCACTTGGTCCTAGTACGGCCGTTAGAAGATTTGCACTATCACAAAAAAAGCTTATGTGCAGCCATGTTTTAGCCGAGCAGATAAAGGATCACATTGGAAAGGAAAATTCACATTGGCGATGTTTTGGCACATGTTTGTGAAACCATGATACTAAAATATCTATTTTTAGTCTGATGGTTGAACGAACTGTGTTGATTTTTCTATCCGATGATATGTAGCTGCTCACATTGGCCAAAGTTGGTTCGTTTATGTAAATATTTGTTGTTGACTTATTATTATTATTGCTTTTACTAAATACAAAAACTTTTGTTCTTAATATACTTATTGCAAAACCCCTGTTTTTGTTGGCTTTATTTGAAGTTTTTACGTTCCTACTCACGTATAGATTTTTGCTGTGAAATTCTATGTCCTTGTGCTCTACTTTGAGTTATTCCACTTCACTAATTTTTTTCT